TCTCTCTCTCTCTCTCTCTCTCTCTCTCTCTCTCTCTCTCTCTCTCTCTCTCTCTCTCTCTCTCTCTCTCTCTCTCTCTCTCATACGAATAACGTGTCGATCGTCACGGGTTCTCCAACATGCCTATCATGTCTCGTTTTATAGATGGAGAAGTCAAATGTGTCCATGAACATGGCGGTCGAGACTATTGCATGCACGGCTGAAGACCTGTATCAAGATATATTGAACGTCATAGCAAGAGACGACGCTCACAAGCAATGCGTTCGCAGTCCTGGGAGAGGGGTGGCAGGTAACGATACCAACCAAGAAACGACGTTGCAAATGGAATCAGAGGAAATGTTGGGTGTCATTTGCGTGGCTGCAAATGAGGACGCGGATAACGGCGAGGGGACAGGCAACGAAGACACTCCGATCAGCACAGTTGGCAGTGACTGTATCACCAAGACTAAAGCAGGAACGCAATTCCTGTACGATATCAACTTGGAGCCCGGCAAGGTGCAGCCAGGCTTGAACGGTGGCAAGCACTGCCTCGCCTTTAAGAGCGGTGAGACATGGGTCCCTTATCCTCCGCCTAAATTGGCCACATGGCGCTACATCACGGCAGCCATTATTTTCGATCGACTGACGAGGCTGAATGACGGCGTCGCGCTTCCACATCTGACGCATGTCCTTTGGGAGGCACTGGCAGAAAAGGGGGGGTTAAGGCTGAATGATTTCTTTTACGATTGTGAGGACTGCTCCCCACAATGGGTGGTTTCTGACAGCACACGAGTTGGGGATGAAGTATGCAACGACAATGATGCAAGGCCGAATGCGCGGTGGGGTTGGGTGCCGTCAAGCATTCCTTGTGAATATGGGGAGATAAGGATGCTTGTCCGCGATCTATTTGGGAACTGTTGGAGTATAGTTTATATAAATGGCGAGTTCTCGTCTCGTTATTTGGAGTATGAGATAGCGGAGTCCTTTGATGCCGCGACAGGGGAACCCCTGATCCCAGTGCAGAACCCCGTGTTTTCGCCAATTGTGGAGGGGAAAGTTTTTTCGGGGGAGGACAACATTTGTCTGCGGCATGTAAGAGGAAGGAAGGTCACTTATGATGGTCTGTTCGTTGACATATGGGACCCCGACAGGACAACGCCGGAGAGGCTGCCAGATATTGACATATCTGGCACTATTATTCCACAAACGGAGTTGAGCAGACATTCATCCGGGGAGATGTACGGGTATCATGTGAATTGGGTACCCGGTGTCTTTCATCCTGACATTTTTGAAAACAAAGTTATGATGGCAGCCAAACTGCGTTCAGGCGAGTGGGTACCTATGGTTTGGATGCCTTCAGGTGTTGTTCAGCATTGCCATTTCATGGTTATGCTGGCTCGTGTGTCGATATGAAATGCAAGGGTGAATGACAAAGCGTTATTGTGGAAACATGCAAAGCTGTGTTGGGATAGATTAAATGTTGAGGACCGTCAGATGGTGTTGTGTGGATATGACGGTCGTGAAGACGACAACATGTGGTCAATGCAGGGTGCTGGCGCGGGCGCAAGCCCTTGTTTGGATTTTTCTGATAACTGTCTGAGCGTCATTCGCCGTAGACATGGGCGGTCAGCACTTCTTGGATGGGTACCGTTGTCTGTCCCATGTGTTATGCCTGCGGGGCAGACCTGTCCATGGAGTTCAGAGACCCTCTGGGTGTGCCGTTTTTTGTGACGTACTCTGATGGTTTGCTGCGGCACATTGAGTACATGGCAGCAGAGGACATGAAGGGGAACAATTATAATGCGGGGATTAGAGAACCTCAGTTTGAAGCGATGGGACAACCGGAATGCGAGACAAACAGACTACCCGAAGACACTCCCGGGGGATGTGACATTGACGGACCGGCTGCACACTCGGGTGCAGGACGTGCTGTTGTGGAGACGAGCGCGCTAGTCACCGGCACGGTGTGCACCGATGGTAGCACGAGGACGGGGTAAGGAACGAAGCGGAAGGCGACAACAAAACGCGACAACGGGGGGCCAACGACGGTAGCAGGGAGGGGGGGTCGAGGTAAGGGAAGGGGGGGTGGGGCAGCAATGGTTGGTGGAAGAGGGAGAGGAAGGGGGAGGGGGCAAGGGG